TATAGGTTCTGCTCTAGCCAGCAAAGCCATGTGAACCAAATCCCCTTCATTACGATTTGTGCATCTGAGTAAACTTCACACTCACCAAATCTCTATGGTTGCACTCGCTGTCTTCGTGGTCTACCAGTTTCACTATTCGGCACTCACCTCCTGTCTTCCAATGTCGTTTATGACTCTGTTGAGATAGAGTTATCAACATCCTTAACTATCTTGGTCTTCACCAGACTGGTGTGGTTCTAATTCCAATCCCAACTTTTGTCTTCTAGAACCACCACGTCTTTGCTCAAGGTAACTTTCTCTTCAATTGGATCGAAGAGTTTGTAAGCACCAGTGGGGTGATAACTAATGAACAACATTGCCCTACTTTTATCCTCCAACTTTGATCTCTTCTGATTCGAGACATGCACGAATGTGAGTGAGCCAAACACTTTCAAATGGACAATTGTTGGCCTCTCACCTATTCACGCCTTAAGTGGCACATTTCCCTTTAGCTTCTTCGTTGGACACCTGTTAAGCAAGTGGGCAGCTGTGGACACTGCCTCGCCCCACAACTTTCGTGGCAACGCCTTCTCCTTCAACAAGCTTCTAGCCATGTTGAGAATCGTTCAGTTCCTCCTTTTTGCAAGCCAGTTATGCTGAGGAATGTATGGAGCGGTGATCTCATGAGTGATCCCATGCATCTGGCAGTGACTCTCGAAAGCGGCAAAGGTATATTCTCCTCCCCCGTCTATCTTGAGTATCTTCAGTTGTCTACCACTTTCCCTTTCAACATGTGCCTTAAATCATATGAAGATTTCCAATGTGTCACTCTTCACTTTAATCAAATACACCCAGATCATCCTACTATATTCATCAATGAATGTGATGAAGTACCTATTTCCAGCAACTGTAGGCACCTCAATTGGACCACAAATGTTTGAATGTACTACTCCTAGACAGTCCTTTGCTCTCATGCTTAAGTGGGTTTTAAAAGATTTCCTCGTATGTTTCCAACCATACAGGTTTCGCAAACCTCCTCTGGCAAGATGATTTTGGGTAAGCCAGAAACAATTTCCTTCATACTGAGTTGCTGCAAACTCTTGAAATTCAGATGACCATGGCTCAAGTGCCATAGCCAGCTCTCATCACTATTCTTCACTAAAGTCATGCACTCAGAACTTTCTACCGCTTCCAGGCTAATCTGAAATGTTCTGTTCTTGGAAATCTTGCTTCTCAAGATTAAATTCTTGTCACCATCAAATAGCTCGACCTTGTTATCTTCCATCACCACTTTAAACCCTCTTTGGATCAACTGTCCAACGCTTAACAGATTGCACTTCATGTCAGGAACAAGAAGCACGCCAGTGATCATAGCATGCGAGCTATTCTTCCTTCGAATCACAACATCTCCCATGCCCTCCACCTTCAGAGTACTGTCATATGCAAATTTTACTTTACTCTTCTTCATGGCATCAAAATTGATTAGCCATTCTTGATGGCACGTCATATGGTTTGAGCACCCAGAGTCTAGGTACCATAAGTCAACATGAGAACTAGAGCTTTCAACCGAAGTAGTCACCATCAAGGTTAGCAGCTCTGAATCTGAATCCTCCTGAGCAACATGCGCTTCTTTTCCTTGATGTTTCTTCTGTTTCCCTTTCTCCACATAACACTCATATGCGAAATGTCCATACTTGTGACAGTTGAAGTATTCGATACTTCTTTAATCCTTCTTTGGATAATTCTTCTATGCTCTTCCATCTTTCTCCACTGATACAGACTTATCATCCTGATCATCCTTAGTCTTATAATCCTTCCAACTCCCTTTTGTACGTTTCCCTTTCCACTTCTTTGACTTTTTCTTCTCATCATTTCTTGAATGGTGCACTTTCAAGGCCTTTTCAAAGTTGTTGACTGGATTCCTATTAATCATCCTCATTTCATGGGCTTCTAGTGAACTCTGAAGCTCTTCAATCTTCATCTTTGAAAGATCTTTAGACTCTTCTATTGCAACAACTATATAGTCAAACTTTCGTGGTAACGATCACATAATTCTCTCCATGATCATCAGATCATTGATGGATTCCCCGCACCCTTTCATTTGATTCGTTATGGTCAGTATTTGTTGAAATACTCACCAAATCGATCGATGTCCTCCATTTGCAGTAACTCATACTGCCTTTTAAGGGTTTGAAGCTTCACTTTCTTGATCCTCTCCCCTCCTGCATGACAACGAACAAGTATACTACAGGCTTCTCTAGCAGTACTCACATTCTGAATCTTCTTAAAATGTGCATCATCAACACATTGATGAATGATGAATAGTGCCTTGTTTTCCTTCTTTCTGATCACAACTTTCTGATCTTCTGTAGCACCAAGACCAAGCTCTTGGTCATCTCCTTCAATAACATCACTCACATCTTGAAACTTGAACAACACTTTCATTTGAGTGCTTCATCTATTCTAGTTCTTCTCTGAGTATTGAAAGATTAGATGTTGAGATATCGCTCTCTGCCATTCTTCAAACACTTAATCTTCAAGAACTCAAGTCTTAACAATCAACTTTTCTTCTTCTTGCTTCAACGCATTGTATTTGTGATTCTAAAACACCACATGTCTCTCCACAAACCTTAGCTATGGATACCAATTCTATTGGAGAATTAGAAGAGAGAAAAGTGAAGAATGAAGTATCTGTATTATTAAAAACAAAAAAGCAATACAACTTTTATACAGAGTGTGTGATGTATCTGTAAAAATAAAAATTGATAACCATAAAACTAACTATTTAATAGTTTGACTTGTTATACACAATCATTTATAGTTGGAGTATAATAGTTAGTTTAGTACAGTTAACTTTTGAAAAAAAACCTTATATACATTCTTATCTTCTTTTCTTTTTAGAGTAATAAATATGAAATATATGTATAATTATACAGAATAACGGTATGACATTTTATATTTTCATTTTAACTGTTCTTTTATATTGATTTTTTTTATAGACAAAAATAATTAGGAAACTAAAAAGATTATATTGGTTAGAATTTATCTATACCATTATAACAATTATACCTTTTAACTATTTACTTACAATAATAATTATCTTTTTGTAATATTTTTTATGAAATGGTTTATAATTTAATAATTTTTATATTTTAATAAATATTATAATATAATTTTTCTTTTATTTTTTTATCATAAGAAGAATGAAGAGAGAGTTGTGCTTAGACATGTGTTTATAAATTAGGTTTAATGTCTCGGTAGGTCCCTATTTTCGGCGTGAATTTCAAATAGGTCCCTTTTCTTTTCGGCGTCTCAATTGGGTTCTTTTTTGTGTAAAATTGGAGCAATTAGGGGTCTGCCGTCAAATTAGACAAACGGCCGTTTAAGTTTGCCTACGTGTTATTAAAAATGATTTTGAATTAATTTTTGTATTAAAAAATGGATTTGTTCTTCAAGGGCAAAAAAGGCAAACTGGGGCAAACCCTTTTCTTCTTTTCTTCTTCGATTGGAAGCGCGGAGGGGAAATCCCTTCCGAATGAAGAACTTACAAGAGGTCACGATGCTATTCGCTA